TCGTCAAATAGCCGAACGAGTGGAAACGGCCGAGATCGGAGCCTTTGAAGTTGGGCATGTCGCGCTCTTTTCCCGCCCCGAGCCGAGCAGCGAGATCGCGGACCGGTAGAAGGCCTCGGGCGGGCCCACCTGCTTGTAGTACTCGGACCGCGCCGCGTAGTACTTGCGGAAGACGGCCGTGTCCGTCGCGCCCGTGAGCGCGTCCATCGTCGGCTGCGCGTCGTCGAGCGCGGCCTTGACCGACGCGAGCTCCGCCGCGGCGTCGGGCCCGCGCGGCGCCGCGAGCTTGAGCAGCGCGACGTCGAAGCGGAGCAGCAGGCCCGGCTCCACGCCCAGGCGGGCGCCCTTGGCCTCGAGGGCGCCCTCGAGCTTCGCGATGCCCTCGGGCCCGCTCAGCGTGCCGCCGGCCTCGACGGACGCGCGGACGATCGCGCCGAAGATGAGCGCGTAGCGGAGCTGGTTCAGCTTCCCCTCGAACTTGCTCAGGAAGTGCTGCTCGAGGTCCAGGAGCAGCCGCCCCCGGCCCTGGTGGCCCGGGTCGTTGACGAAGGTCTCGAGGGCCAGGGTCAGCTCGTGGTAGAGCTTGCCCTCGTAGAGGCGCCCGAGCGCCGCGAGGTCCGCCGCCGCCTCGGGCACGAGGCTGCACGTCGTCTCCACCCAGTCCATCGCCCGACGCGACCGACGCGGCGAGGCCGACGGTGAGGTGGAAGGGGTGCGGTCGACCGCGGCGGCGACGCGCTAGAGCTTGGCCGCGAGCGCGCGATGAGCTTGAGATGGATGGCGCGGTCCTCGTAAATTTACTTGTCCTCGTCCGGCGCCGCGGCGCGGCGCTCCGCGCCGCCCGACAGCCTCCTCGACGGGGTCGCATCGTCGTCGGCGTCGCCGCGGCTCGCGCGGCCCCCGACCCCCTAGTCAAACCACGGCGTCGCGACGAGCGCCCTTACCGGAGCGGGCGCGCGCGATGCCGGGCGGCTACGCGGAGGCCGCGCGCATCTCGGCCTCGAACTCCGCCTGCGCGCGCTCGATCTCCTCCTTGACCTTGCGGAGCTCGTCGTCGAGCTCCTCGACGCGCTGGAGCTGGACCTGCTGCTGGGCCTGGAGGTCGCGGCGGATGTCGCCGACGGCCTCGGGCGTCGCCGCGCGGACGGCGCGGTCCGCGAGGCTCCGGATCTCCGGCGGCGCGACGCGCGGCGCGAGGCCCGAACCGCCGTCGTCGTCGGGCTCCGGCGACGCAGCGGCGCGCCCGCGACGGCCATGGCCG